ACCATGTGCCGAATTTCGTAAAAATCCTGCTCGATACCGTTAACATCGACATCAGCAACAAAAGCGAAATTGTCATTGCACAGATTCATCTTGCCAATACATTAACTCCCATGACTGGATATGCAATAGTCGCCAAGTATCAAGATATGAAAAGAGTGGACTTGTTCAATCGACGGTCAGATGTTGTTCATTACCCCAATTTTTTTTTCCGTGATTATGGTAACTTTACTACCAGGTACGTACATCCAGAAAATGCCAATTTAATGAAATCATTATGTGTCTAACAGAAAGTATCTATATAACAGCATCAGTAACTCAAAGGGAAAAGTCTTTTGGGATCATGTGACGTATATTCAAGGGTATTATCCCGAACACCACGTTGTGAGAACCGAACCATTTCAGAGAGTTGGGTCTGTCACTGGGTATTTAATCGCTGGTGGATATAAGTAAGTACATTTTGTCTCAGTAAAATGTGAAGCAAAATAGGGCGCATCTGGTTTTTGATCTATCAATTATGATGGCTACTTAAATTTATTGGCAAATGTATAAGGTTACAGTTGAACAGTTGCTCCGTCATTGGCTACTTTCTGAATGAATTATCTGATAACAGCTATAAACTACATTTTGAATGCTACATCTTGAATAAGCATGAGCATTTAAGTACATACTTGGTTCGATTCTCTGTGAGATGCGCAATGAATCTCATTTTTTTTCCACATTTGTGTGCTGCAAAATTAATCTAGATGAAATCAAGAAATATACTTGGACTGAAAAAAAGGCAGAATCTGCTTGGCAGCCGAGGCAAATGTGACTGTTCACTAACTGAACACCTTGTATATTTCTGCAGGTTGGCGTTGGCTGCCAAGCAGATTCTGCTTGGCTCACAGACTATCCTAGCCTGAAAGTAGCTGCTTGAATCGACAGGCTATAGTGGCCTTTTTTCAGTGTACAATCAACTAATGTACATGTATGCATGCGTTTCATAGATACAAGAACCACGATGTATTAAAGCACCTATATCATGACGCAAAAGCTCTCATATCTGGGTATGAGTCGATTCTTACCAATTACTTGTCTCAAAGAGCTGCATATAGAATTGAAGAAGTTCGAACATTTGTCGGGTCTGAAGGGTTTGATAAGCTTTGTGACTCTTACGAAAGTTGCTCCTTTATTCTGCCTAGCACAAAGAAAATTATAGAAGCCGGGGCGATTTACGTTGTACATCATTGGGATCGATATTTCCGATCTCATAATCTTTTACAAGATGTGAGAGCACTGCAAGCTGGGATGAACGTTGTGGACCAGTACGGTTCAGACGGAATGTCTGGAAGTAAGCTCCAAGAGCTCTACGACAGAGAAACAAAAATAGAGTGGTTTTTGTACGGCGTAAGAAACATTAACAGTGTTGTTTGGCGCTCTTTGCTACCACGCCCTTCAGATGGATTGAAAAGTAATTTTTCTATTTGAAATACAAAATAACCTGTTTAACCTTATGAACATCTTCATTACCCTTATTTAAACTATTGACTCTACAATCCAACTAAAATTATATTAAAATTGTTCAACCTCAAATACACGAATTTTTTGTCACACACATTCATAATAATCATATGATAAAATTTTTGTTTAGTTTCCTCAACAATCAACTCTTTTAATGGATGCCTTATATTTAAACACCCGTTTCCAATGACCGACGAAAAAAGACTTCGGTTGAGGCAGCCTTACGGCCCTATCTTGTTTAGGAGCAATAAGTTTATCCTGCCTCCATTGACCGCTGCTATGTATAGAATTTCAAAATTTAATCCTACTACTGATGACGTCATAAACAATGTCGATACCGTGCAAATTGATCCAGAAAGTGGCAATGAAGGTCTAATGATTACCAGAAAATTGTATTATTTTTTGATGAAAGTTGCTATCAGTGCACGAAGAGGACAAGGATTTGGAAAAGATGCATTCATAAAAAAACTTAAAACTGCGTTCCAGTCAAATGCAATTAAGACACTGATACAGCGCGAAAAAGGAACAGGGGTAGCGCGCATAAAAGGATCCGTTAGGGTTGAGACGGTTGTGCAGCATCTACTGCAGCCGAGTACACTCGTAGGTAGATCTTTATTTCCACTTTTATATTGACCATGAAAATTATTTTTTAATAAATTATTATTTTTAATTTAATAGGTTCCTTAATTCGTGGAACCCTGGGTTTTGAAGGGTCAAGTTCATTACGTGATTTCAAAGGTCAACTTGTGAGCTTTGTACGTAAATACATGGAAGTTTTCCCAATGAGATCAGTATATTCCCATGCTATTCGAAACCAGTGGTCCATGATTGGCAAGGAAGACACGTTTGGCAAAGAGTGTGACACGACTGACGAAGTAGCAGCTAGAAGACTTGCTACTTTAGCATTGGCACGTCAAAAAAAGCAGAAGGTTTGTTATCAATAAATGTAGATTGTTGTTTATTTTTCGGAACAAATAAGCAAATTAATAATTTAAACTTTGTAATATCATAGGTATGGAAGAAGAAGTATAGTAATCTTTTGCATAATAAAGGCCTTCCTGTGCACGACTCAATTTCTATTATGTACAATGTCGAAGAGCATCACACCGTAAGACAATTACGTAGTAATTTGAATTGATTTGAATATTTGATTTTCAGCAATATCAGCTACCTTTTTTTTGTACCTACTTCATCTGCGTGGTTTTCTGTATATTCATTACTTTTTTCATTTCTCCTCAGCCAACTACATCTTGTCCACTCTCTCCAACTGATGAACTCGACCAAGAATTGGACCAAGACCAAGGTTTACAACTGGAAGGGGACATTGACACTATTAGTGACGACGAAAATCGGAATAACACAGCAGACCAGAACGAACCATCTTCAACCACACTTTCACCTGCATCCAAACCAGGGCAATTGGAGTCAACCCCCCCACTAACTCCTTCTACATTGACTCCACCCACACCAAATTTATCTCTATGTCCACCTTCACCATCACTTAAACCAACAACACATTTACCATTAAATTCATCATTACTCTCACCATTATCGCCTTCACCACCTTCACCAATCCTGTCATCAAAACGAGCACTTCGACAAAAACTACCGTCATCTAAATCATCGACACCACCACCCTCAAAACAGATTCTAATTGAGAAATCAGATAAGCCTACGACACAAAGAAAAAATGATGATGCACCTTCTTTATCCCCTACTGATTCAGATGGAGATGTAAACGTAAATAGCTATTAAGTTATTCATATGTACATAATTTAAATAAACACAATTAAGTCGAAGATCCAATTGTTGCAGCCAACGTTAACCGATGGAAACTGTAGAATGGATGTGGTTGAGCGTCTCATTATTGAGTCTGCAGTTGCAACAAAAATTTTGCAAGATTTCAAAGAGCGCATCGATGCCGAAAAACGAAGCTGCTGTCCCAAAAGCCCACCGAAACGAAGACCAAAACGAACTGATGTTTTAAAAAAAGTATTACAAAATTCCGTTCATTTTTGGCGTTATTTTTCGCACTTACGGCCTTATATGCTATGTATAGCCGCTCGGTCGTCAACAGATTGATCTAATATAGGCACAGTGGAAGATGAACAGGTGGTCCATGTGTTTATTTGTAGTTGGTCGGTTGGTCCAATATCAGTATACATAAGTGGTCGCGGTGGCGCAACGGTAGAGTTGCAGTTCCACTGATCTTCGAGGTTAAGCTGCATTTGGCGCGGTTAGTAATTGGATGGGTGACCGCTTGGTCACCATTCGGGTCTCGCCTAATTAACACTGCTTGTGTAAAAGAATGCCATGTCTGAGCCTACAGGCGATGATGAATAAACAAAAAAATCTGTATATATAGTAAATATAAGTATATTTTTCCGTCCGACCAACAACAAAAAAAACGTGGCCTTTATTGTAAGCAGTAAATTTTTAGAAACATTTTTGGTTACTCTGGCTTTTTTGCACCAGCTGTCGCATATAAGATAAACACCAAGTAGACGGAGTAATGAAAATAACTATGTACGATGGTGTTTGCTGAAAATCGTAGTAAAACTAAATAAATACAGTCTTCGTTTGTCATTTCGTCATCTACTAAATATCACTGTCGTGTTTAGATTTTGCCTACAACGTCTAGGCCCGACGGCTATGATCAACCCTTGACGTCGAGCCATAACAGCATTACTATTCCAATTACAAATTGTCGCCACGTCATTGAAAATGAAAACATTGTAATATCTTCTGACAGTGACCATAGTACAAGTAGTGAAGATGATAACTCCGTAAGTTATCTATTAACATTTAATATTATTCGATACGCTATTGTTCATAATATATGTTCTCTATTTTGTTTCCAGATTAAACGCCCAATACTAAGGCTGTACACTGACGCGCATACCCATGTGAATTCCGATAGTATAAAACGGACACACTCGGTAAATTAAGCAAATTAATATTAAATATCTCACAAAATTGCTGCATTACCTATTTCTGTTACAGGAATTTGAATATGATCATGATATTAAAAAGGCAAACCACAAGAAGAGGAAAAACAACGTTTATGAAACTTCTAAACAAGGAAAACGATTAAGTNTTTATATTATTTATTTTATTTAAGAAAATCAACGGGCAAAAATACCCTTTACATACATGTAAAGAATTGCAGGTATGAAACTAATAAGTAATCTAATTATGCCAATGCACGCATAGATAAAAATTATACAGAAGCAATATAAAGTTTTATGCAACTCCTTAACAAACTTAGTGAATCAACATTTTAGGCTTTTATGAGGAAGAGTATTCCATTGCCTTTTCAAGCGATAAACAATTGAGTAAAATATAAAGTTTTTTTCATACAAAATAATAAACGTAAAGTTATGAAAATTGTCAAATGGATGGGAAAAAAAGGTAAGTTTATAAACAATACAATGTGTTTGTTGTAGTATTATTATTGTAAAAATATTTACACTAAAATTTACAAATTGTACACACGCCTCTTACTGCAAGTCTATCATCGGTTCGACAATGCCGTAAGCTTTAACTAATTCCTGCAAATAAAATTATATAAATAGTAACAAAGTAACCAATAACGTTCTTAGCATTAATGTATGTTATTCATTAATACTTACTTTCCATTGTCGCATCGATAAACTTAACACGTTCTGGACTTTGCTACTTGTTGTAGCATCAGCTTTATCCTCGTCGCTACATACGCTGACGAGCGGCAAACCATCATTATCTGTAAACACCGAACAAGATGTTAAAAATATGCATTGAAAAACAATACATTGGTGCAATAAAGCCAGTAGAATATTTATTCTTACCCAATATAAATTTAACAATGTCATCGCGAACGAGAAAAGCTACGCAAAGAACATTGTCCACAGTTTTTGCAAAGTCCGTGGGATGGAGAACTAGTTTAAAAAAATCTACTGACCCCTTGGCACTGCGAATGAGGTCAGTAATTTTAGATAGTTTCGTCTTGTTGTGATCTTTTATTTTTTCATTTTTTGACGTATCCGGGTGTCGTACAGGAGCATTGTCCTGTTTCTTCCGTACTACAACTGCCTTGGCAGCGTTGACGACCGGTTTTTCCGGAGTCGACTCTAATGTACCTAAAATGTTATGAAACATTTAAAAAAAATGATGCGTATATGGGTTATTCTGTCGTAACTTGCTCAGATGTACCTGCAAAATATTTCAAAAAGAATTTAATCAAAAAAATTTTTTTAATGGTATTTTTACTGTACACAACATTAGTAACAAATATCATATCATCTAAAGGGATGCAACTATAAGATTAACTAGTCAAAAGTTATAAGAAATTTTATAAAAGTCAGTGTTTTCATCGATTTTTGAAAAATTGTGTCTCTTTCTAACACATGTAGCTAAGCTCCTTCAACAGTTCGATTGTTATTATTGGGCTTAAATGAAAGCTGGTGTAAAGACGTTTCGATAAAAAAAATTTTGTTTGATTTTGTGTCTCCATTCGAGCGTAAATATTGCTACTCATGTGATTTTGGCTTTAATTTACTATTTTTATACAACCACTAACACTTTTGATTCAGGGCATAAAATATAAAGATTTGTGTTTTAATTACTATGACTATGTTTTTGCTTTCGTATAAGCCCAGATTAAGCCACCGAAAAGAGTGCACGACTTGGCTACCAACGTTTAAAGTAGCACCACCGTTTTTGCATTTTTAGTTCTGCGATTGATATCTATGTATATATTAATAATGAAAATAATTACCCAACAGATTTTGGTATGTTGGCGTTATTGGGAAGAACTTCATCACCGTTTTTCCCAACAGTGACCAATCTGGTGTTGCCAATGGATGAATTTCATCTCTATTTGAGAGGTTGCACACGTACTCCTTCTTTAAAACGAAAATAATAAAAATTATAATTAAATAACACTACTAATTAAATTAAAAGATGAATTGTAAATTCGTAAAACTTTTACTTACTAATTTATTTGCGTAATCTTCTGAATCATATAGATTCATATGGCTGCACACACTTCGACTGCACTTGCCCATTATCCCGGATGCTGTGGCCATGATTTCTGATTCCAGAACTGTCTCCGTCATATCCTTGACTAAATTTAATTGACATATGTGTTAATTTTTAGTTGTTGTATAAAATTAACTCATAAAATAATAATGAACCAACTTTTATCATCGACGCTTCCCTGTACATGAACTACTTCAAGCTCCTCCACAATTTCGTCAATCTGTCGAAGACGTTGACTTTCGTGATTTAACCAAGCCATCTAAGTATGCGTAAAAGTATATATAGGTTATAATTACAAACTGCAAGTAAAAATAATGTGACCACAAAGCTTAATCGACTAGTCACAGACGGTTGTAAATTAAAAACTAGCTCTAAACATTCAAGTAACAGTAATCAGGTTCTAAATTTGTGATATCCCTGAGATAATAAAGCATGCACATAACCTATGCTAAGCCTTAACTATGTTATTGAAATAACAAAATCAAACAAAATGAAACTTGGTAAAATCTAAATCAAATATGTATATTTGTATCTACTATTTTGTTTTACTTAAACTATTACTTTACCTCAAAAAACTAGAAGATTTTTGTTGACAAGCGGGAAGGGCAGGAGATAATGAANAGTTCTGCCGATAATGAACTTCGAGCTCGCTCACTTAACCATCCTCTTTCTTGCTGCCGCTTCTTCATTATCTCCTGCCCTTCCCGCTTGTCAACAAAAATCTTCTAGTTTTTTGAGGTAAAGTAATAGTTTAAGTAAAACAAAATAGTAGATACAAATATACATATTTGATTTAGATTTTACCAAGTTTCATTTTGTTTGATTTTATTATTTTAATAACATAATTAAAGCATAGTATAGGTTATGTGCATGCTTTATTATCTCAGGGCTATCACAAATTGGTTTTTTTATTCCCCGAATGTATTTGAACAAAATTCACAAAATTAAATTTTTTATTTTTGGTAATGGTACCAGCAACAAAAATAATGCATGATCTGTTATGATTGAAAACATACAGTCATGTAACTTACTTTCACAACTCAAATGATTGTCAATTGGGGTTATTTTGGGTTATGGTACGTGCCTCTGAATATTATGAACTAACTCAATTTCATGTCAATTTATTGGTATGGACTATTTTGGGGCTGCAAGTAATAAGTCGGAACTAATTCAAAATTTCCTTTTATACTTTACCAGATGGAAAACAAAGAGGGAGATACGATGACAACCGAGTCGACCTTTCCACTTCCCACTTCAGAACTTGGGAGCATTAAGGTGGAACCTGGTGTTGGCAGCAAGAAATTCTGGTGGCCACATGTACTTGAAGCGTATCAAGAAAGAAGCAAGCGAATACAACACCTTTTGGTTTTAAAAAACCAGATAAGAGGGCTAGGTAAGTGACTTTGTTATTCTTTGAATTGATTAATGACTGAAAACACCCATCTAATAAATCATACCTTACGTCCCAGGTAACTATCTCATGCCAAAAACTCATCTCAGGAGAGTGCTTGGCGTGAGATGGAAACCTGGGATCTCATGTGATCAACAAAAATATAAAAATAACCAAAATAAATTTTTTGTAGACAAAGAAACTGATACCGTCATCACAAAAGGCACGGTGGACTCTATCAAAATAATAACTGATAGGTGTCAAGTTATAATGAATAAAATGATACGTAAACGTCGGTGCGTAAAAAAATGAAAATCATACTCCTGTAAGAACTGTACCGAGGTTTTAAGGAAATCAATAAAAAAAAAAAAAAAAAAACATTTACATCGGTTTGTATGATTAAAGGTTATTGGGTTTTATTCAAGCATGAAGTTGCTCGTGTACTCCCACCAATTTATTTTTCTTATAAATAATAAATAGTACTAAATGAATGGATTTTACTCAAACTTCTCTAGTTCGTTAGTCATTATGGTAAGAGATGTCACCTGATGGTTGTAGACAGGATATCTCGATTTTTTTTTTTGCATAAGTATATTTTCCAGATTTACCTGTAAAAATTGTTTCTACTTCTGACACAACCGAATCTACCAAAAAAAAAAGTCAAATTAGATGTTTGTTCAGCATGTGGTAGTACATTAGGTTGGAGCAATGAGATAGCAACTAAAAGTGATTTACAGGGTAATATTTAATTAATAAAAACTTTTTTGATAAATTAATGAGGATATTAATTCTATAATT